TAGACCGACTCAACTCTGAACTTGACATTTAAGACATTTGGATTTCGACTTAGGTCCGGACTTCTAGCAGTCTCCCTCTCACTCTCTCTCTCTCTCGCTCTCGCTCTCTCTCTCTCTCTCTCTCTCTGTTTCTCTCTTTCTGACTTCCTGTTGGGTTTGCGATTTCATTGTTCGCGTTTCTTTCCTTTGCAGGTGTTGGTAACTGTGCTCCCTACGGTCAAAAATGTGAGGGCGTGCGTCAATTACGGCGTGTATGATGCGACTTCTGCAACTTTCGTCGTGAAGTATGAGAAAGGCATGTCCTGAGTCAGTGTCTCGCCAGCAGGCACGCGGTAGATAGTGTCACTTGTGTTTGTTGCTGTACCCCTGCCCAAGCCACAAAACCTTAACCTCTTTCCTCTGTTCTGCCATGGCATCCGCATGCGAATCCATTGAGCCGAACAAGGAGGAGGTCGCGCGATAGATAGTTGAAGTTGTCAGGGCTGAACGGGAGAGTGAAAAAGCACGTGCCAAGCAGGTGCAGCTCTTCACCCGGTGGACTTTCGATGGCCGGGAGGTGCCCAAGACTTGTGAAACTAAGCCTCAGCCCCACGGCCTAGCGAGAGGACTATGTCTGGCGCCTTCAACACCAAAGTCTTTTGACCTGGAAGGTTGCAAAAGGGGAGCTTGGGCTGGCTCTGGTGGTCAATGTGAGGCGTGATGTCGGACGAGTTGTAAGGGATCAATCCCTGGATTGGCAAAAATTCTGCCAGTAGAAAAACCAGCACCCAGTCAGTGAATTGTTCGGGCTGGGAATGTGAGCATGCCTCATTCCGCGTCAGCATCATCCTAATTGTCACAATGTCAGAAGAAGTGCAGAAGTGGCAGCAGTAGTCTGGGAGCGGAGATATCAGCGATCATGGGATCGGCCGTGAAAATGTGGCCAGGCGCTTCCAACCGCAGCGGGTGGAGGCAGCAGAAAGGGAATTCAGCAGTTTAAGAACAGTTCCACCAACAGTTCGTGAAGCCTTAGGTCCTTAGGTAAAGGGCTTGAATAAGAGTCAGCCCCGAGCGATCTGCACCCATGTAAAGCATCCTTCGACGAAAACAATGATGCCTGAAGCCTCTCTCCCGCATAGGCCGTTGAGGGTTCATTTGTTCAGTCCATCGGGGGTTGTTCTTTTGGATATCAAATGCGTGCGCGATGTACCGCACGTAAGCCGGGCGCCAGTAATGAAGCCAGAACGCAAGTGAGGTCCGCGGCTTCAGAGCGGAACGTTTGAAATCTTGAAAAACATATTTGTCCAAGGTTGCTGGTTTGCTGCAGGGTGTTGGCTAGAAGATCTCTGGTATCGTTTCTCGTGTCTTGGTCTCCTTCACAGGACTCGTGTGCTTTTCATTACAACTCCTCTCCCTAGTTTCCATTACTACCTTTCCTGGTTCGCATTAAAGAGTACAAGCCTTTCCCATCGCAGAGGCCTTCTTTGATGTTTTGCGTGTTTCTCTTTCTGAAGAGTCCTTGTCGGCACCCCGGCGTGGCGAGATGGCCTTTGGCAAAGGCCCCGTGGAAACGGCACTATGAGGCAAGATCCCGGCGTGTTTCCCCACAAGCTGATGTTTTGAGAGTGTGACATATCAGTTTAGGGCTACTTCTCAACAGGTCTTCGCAGCTGCGGTGTTCCGTTCGCACTGTGAGACCGGCTTTCCAGTTAAACTGCGCCAGGTGCTGCCTTTGGAGGGGTTTGGTGTTTCGGGTCCTCTAGGTGGACACGGAAACTGCCAAACCGGCTCTGCGATCAACTTGCGTTGACGCCTTTTCTCAAAACGTCCACGCAAATCTGTTGATCCCCTTTGCTGCACCCAGACTGTTTGCCCATCCCCTTGAAGGTTCTTTATCTTGCACATGCGCCACGGGCCGAAGGGAAGAGAACATCCAGTGCTCGGCGAGCTGAGTGCGTGAAGGCACCAATCCAAAATTCAAACTTTGCAGCTGTCTGTCCACATCCCGGCAACGAGTCGTGGCTTTCAGCTGGCGATCGCGGTGCTGCGGTGGATATCTTGCCGGAGGTTGAGGGTCATCAAAAGTGACGAGAAGTTGGGTCAAAACGATCTGCACGGCTGCTCGGCCTAGTGCATCATGTGTGCAAGGCGAAGCAAGAGACTGTGATCTTGCGAGAAAAGAGCTGCGCTCGCCATCTTGCAACCTGTACTTGCACATCTTCGAGCACAAGCAAATCGACTCTACATCGGCGCGCAACGGTCGTGCAAAAAGTTTTTTCTTCGAGTGGTGGTGATCCCGCGTCGGACCAGGTAACTCCAGAGTTTTAGGCCGAGATGGTCCGAGCGACTGCTAAGTCACTTGCAAGAAGCCTGACATGCAGCTATGCTTTGGCCCGCAAGCAGCAGTGCTTTCAAAAATCACACAGCCTGACGCAGCCGACCCAGCATATCCGGCATATCCTTCAGCCCAGTGCGAGGTCGTCGAGGGTCTCCGAACCTGATGGCCTGACAGTGTCGTGCAGCCATGGGGACAGTCTTGAGCCAAGCAGGCGTCTGCTGTGCCCCCTGGATGAGAGCAGTCTGCTTTGATAGTGGGTCGTGTTTACTCGCGAGCTTCAAAAGCCGAGGCGTGCTGTTCATGGAGGGCTACAGCTGTAAAATCTCAAATCAGATCCTTGCGCTTCATCCCCGAAGTCCACTATCTTAGCCCCACCTCAAGACCCTGCACCTCGATGGATCAGACACAAAAGCAAGTGCATCCGAACGCGAGCTGTTAGTTCTGCATCCCCCATCCTCCGACGTTGTTCGGTTTGTTTCAAGTGCGAGACGCTGCGGCTTCAAGTGTGGATGCTGATACTGTTTCTGGCGGAAGGTCGGATGTGTGAGGGCACCAGAGGGGGACCCTGCACACCACGAAAGCCTCGACAAACCCTGCAGTTCTTCAGAACCGAAGATAGGCTTCTATCGAAGGCTGAGGCTTTGCAATTGGGTATGCAGATTGGGAATTGGGAACAGACCGGTTCGAGTATGAAGCTTGAGTGTTGAAGGACCTCGATAGAGCCGAGTGGACCCTGGGCTGTGGGTAGGATCTTTGTTACGTGGCCCATGTAAAGGTACAGGAACGGAGTCTCTTCTGCAGCAGCTTCGAATTCCTCTGGACGTTTGTTTCTCGTTTTCCAATCCCCGAGGTGCTACAGATTCGGATTGAATTGGCATCTGGGTTTTTCACCTTTGACTTGAGTGGTTCATCGATTTTGGCAGCAATCTTTCACGGTTTCGGGATGGTCTGGGCTCAAGGTGCAGTCCACTTCAGGACCCCGAACTTCAGAGCCTTCGTTGAACCCACCAGCCCTTTCTCTCCAGGGTCAACATAAACCATCGGTGCCGGAGTATGCCGAAGGTGTTGGAGTTTGGGTTTGGGGTGATTCTGGCTTTGTTTTGGGGGAGAACGAACCTGCGTTGGGGAGCTGCAAATCCGAGGGGTAGAGTTCTGGGATCTAGTTGAGAAAGGTTTCTCAACGTGGTGGGTCGGGATAAACTTGCTCATGGTTTGCAGCAGTCCTGGGGCCTTAGAAGAACATGATGGGGCTTTCGATCGTCTGCCGCCAACGGTACATCTAGTGATTCGTGAACTCGGAACCCTGGCTTGGCCGAGTCTCAAAATGCACTACCGAACCCTCGAAGATGAAAGAATCCATCCCAGACGTTGAAGTCCGAAGGCCCAAAGCTCGCCTGCCATCGCCCGCACAATCCCAGGTTGGTCGCGACAGGACAAGTTACCAGTCACTGGCGTCTTGACAGCGCTTGGAGGCCCCAAGCACGAAGCCGAACCGCCGATCATCAGGGCCAGAGAGTTCAATCTCCGCGCAGTCTGTTGCAGTATGGAGATCCAATGCTCAGGCGGTCAGCAGCTCCTCTGCTGCTTGGCGAAACAGTGGCTCAACTGGCTCCCCCCGGCTATCGAACACAAATCAACAGGAATGCGTTCACGATAGCGCCAGCAAGAGCCGACAGAGCTGACAAGGTCGCAAGGTGCTCCAGAGCCACGACCCTGAAGCTTTAGCCTCTTCAGGGGAGCCCTTGCTATCAATCGATTGGACCACTGCCTGCGCCGCAGTTCGTGGAGCAGGAGGCGTGGGAGAGACGGTCGCCTCAGCAAGTTTGGGCAACCTTCAACTCTTTGCAGGGTTCGGTGTGGGATGATCGGTCCTGGGGTTTCGACTTGCTGGAGCCCTGGGGCTCTCGTTGCCGTGGCGTTGCCGTGGTGTTGCCGTGGCTGCAGGAGCTCTTCGGAGAGCACCGCGTGTCGCGGCCCAGCTGCTTGGCGGTGCCAGAGTCCTCAGGGCCGGGCTTAAGGGTTGTCCAGAGAGGGGGGGGCCCCTTTCCAAGGCTGCGCCTTTGGCAACAGCTGCCGCCGCAGCAACCCTCAGCATTTCCTGGATGAGAGCCACCCCACGGACCCTGACCATCAGGCCTCCGGACTCTCCAACAAAGCTGCGCATTGAAGCTTGGGGACTTCTGGCACGCCTTCAAAAGAGGCCGGCCATGTGCAACCCCCTGCCGTCCGGCCCGGGCTTCACTTGGCACAGAGGCCGAAAGCAGCTGGAAGTGGTTCTTCGATGTTCTTCGGGCTTCGGGTTTGTCGCAAATCTTTCGTGTTCTCAAGCTGCAGCCGCCATGTCCTGCCTCGGAGTATTTCCCTCTAAACCTGGCCCAGCAAACCTGTGCACAGTCCAAGCTGGCAGGAATGGCAGCTTTGACTGGGTCCGGACCGGCAATGAGAAGGCAACTGGTGAAACTGCAGCTGGCAGCGACGTGAACCGACTGCCCGGCCCCGGCCCCGTCCCGTCGTTTGCCAAACATGTCGCCAAAGCTCCCTGGGGAACGTTGAAGGAACAACCCCCAAAACCTTTTTTTTGTGGTTGTAGGCTTCCGAAGTCTGGTGTTCGGAGTTCAGAGCGCGACTCGTTTCTGTTGCTGGTTCCTTCGTGAACCCCTCGTCTAGAACAGCGAAGCCTGAGCTCTTGGGAGTCGCTGGCAGACGCAATTTCTTAATTTGCGGGCGTAGCTGGGGACCAGTTCTCTGCTCGCCTCCAAGTCATTTTGGAACCCTCTATGTGCGCATGTGCCTAAAGTCTGCACGCGACTCTGAAGCCACGGCTTCGAGCCGCCTTGGCAAGAGAAGCCGACAAGCTCCGCGATCGCGAGGCGGACCGAGACCTGCGTGGAGACGTGGCTGCCCTCAGCCTTGGGGTGCCGCCCCGGTGAAGGGTTCAAGTCTTTTTCTTGTGTGACTGCCCAACCTATTAGACACGGGATGGGACGATGTGGTGCATGTGGGTCCTTCGTCCGAGACTTCGGGAGACACCCCGGTCAGGTGTGTCAAGCCAGAGGCTACTGGCTGGGCAATGCGAAGGTGGCACTGCAGCAGGTGGACAACCTCCTGCAAGGCGGCGCTGTGCACGAAGCCGTCTTCTTAGAGAGTAGCAAAGCGACAGACAGCAGATGCCAGATGCAGGATAATCGGGGATCCAGCATACGCACCGCTTAGATGGGCAAACAACAAGTTAAACGATGGTAGAGCCTGGTGGGTCGACAAGTCATCTGGCAGACAGACAGATGGAGAGCATACAGCAGACTAGTAAAGTCTACCACGGTCTGGAGTTTCTAGCACAGAGATATATGACAGATAGGGGACATAGGAGACTATCATACTAGATCCACTCATTTGCTAGACAGAGCACATGTATATATATATATATGTATGTATGTATGTATGTATGTATGTATGTATGTATGTACGTACGTACGTATGTATGTATGTATGTATGTATGTGTGCATATACAGAAAGTTGATATGCACATATATCTGCAGCAGAAACTTGATGCTCTGTCGAATCTATGTAAGGCATGCGGCAAGAAGGCTTGCCAGCAAACAGTGCATTACTGCATGTCCGCTCGGCAGCTGTTGGAAGCTATTGAAGATACGACACAGTCTGAAACCCGGCTCATATTGGGCAATGAATGTTGACACTCCGTGTGCGTGGATGTGTAAGTACCCAGATGAGCCAGCAAGCGGTCTGAAGTGCAGCAGTACGAACCGAGCTCATACATGATTATGTGTAATTTGAGAAAGCAGATGTACACCTGTACATACACGTTTGGATATACACATGTATGTATGTATGCATGTATGCATGTATGCATGTATGCATGCATGTATGCATGCATGCATGCATGCATGCCTGCATGTATGTACGTACGTATGTATGCATGTACGTATGCTTGTATGGATGCATGTATGGACGTATGTCTGCACATACTTGTATGTATGTATGTATGTATGTATGTATGTATGTATGTATGTATGCATGTGGTCCTATAAGCACCGCTGTAGGACGAGGCCCGATCGTGTGTTTGTGACGTTAGCTTCGCAGAAGGCCCTCACACACGTTTTATCATTGCTAGGACATGCCGCAGTGTCCGACCAAGTGTACGCATGACATACCCATTGCTCCGAAGCCTCAGGCCTTTCAGACATGGGGCTTTGTTTTGCGACACCAAAACTGGAACGTTGGTAGGAATTGTGTTTGTCAAGGACATCTTCAGCTTTTCAGCTCAGTGTTCGTTCGCATCTGCTGATCCTTCCAGTGGCGACAGGTACTCGAATCCTCACGATTGAGGAGGCTCTCTGAGAAGAACATGCCGATATGACTCTCTAGTCCTCAAACCTGCACCGGATCCAGCAGGGAGTGGTGTTACTTTCGGATGGCCTGCACTTGTGGGGCGTAGGTCCTTGATGGTGAACATGCCAGTTTCAGTGCAGATAACTTTGGAAGCCGAAGTTGGAGAAACTTCGAGGCCGGGGGCGCGCTGGCCTCCAACTCCCGACCGCCGCGGCTTGCAGTGGCCAGGGAAACCACGGTGCCTCGGGGGCGCCAAGACTTCGTGTGCTCCTCTTGCTTCTGCTGTCAGCAACCATCCACGCTCGAACGCTTCATTGTCGTCTTGCTTTGGCTTTGGTCGCCAGCTTCTTTGTACTCACCATCCCTTTGGCACCCAACGCTGGGGCCGAAGAGTTTTGTAAGCTAGACCCTAAACTCGAGGCTTCTCGAGGGGAACCTCACGACCGAATTATTTAAAGGGCTCAGCCTACCGGTGTTCGAGCAGTCCTTGGCAGACGCGGAATTTTGTCCTTCGGGTTGAGGTCCTCCACTTGTAGCGGCTGGAGTTGGGTGAGAATCTTACGCATGCGGCTGAGCAGTGGAAAAGTCCTTGTTGGCCTTGACTTCATTTGCCCGGTATTTTCCTTGAGGCTCCCACCTTCCTCATGCTGCAGTTTCTATCCATGTCTTGCTGGGAGGCCCTCGACGCTGCACTCGCACGTAGCACCCGCGGCGAGCGGGTGGCGGTGATCGGGGCAGCTTCTGCTTCTCGGCCGGCTCTTTTTCTGGTTTCGGGTAATAGTCAAGCTGCATGTGCTTGATCTACCGCGGTGTTAACTGGTGCCGAACGAGGCAACATCGAAAACCTGAAACCACGGAAATTGAGCTAGCTTAAAGCCAACAGTCGGAGATGTTTCGACCCCGTGCATCTACAGCAACATATTCCAACAGCCTAACCGGGTTCGCTGCTGAAGCATGGACGCCAAGAGCCAAATGTGGGCGATCAGGCCGCCATAGACTCTCAACTCCAAGCTATGCGCGAGGCCTACCATCCATGTGGAGGCTTCCGCACAGGTGGACGCCATGCGCTGGAGGACACCAGATCTGGCCAAAGCAGGGCTGGCCGAGTGGAGTTGAGTTCTGCGCGCCCCCGCTAGGAGGCGATGTGCGTGCAGTCGACCCTCTCCGTTTCACTGCAGCGAGCGGTGTGGCTTTCAAGGCTCGTTCACGGCTCTGTAGTGGCGCTCGCTGTAGGCCCTGTAGGCCTTGTCCCTAGCTCTCTAGAGCCAACAGCCTTGGGAGGCATGGCGGAGTGGAGGTGGGCTCTCCGGGCTGAGGCGCAGCTCCGGTGCTGAAAAAGTTGTGGAAAGTCGCCTCGCAGGTCCAAATCCCAGAGCGACTGAAAGCCGATGGCCGGAGCGGGGCTCGGAGCGGGATCTCCCGTTTTGTGAGTTTTCTGAGAGAGCCGAGACCATTGGGTGTGGCCCACAGAAATCACCACTCTGAGGAAGGGATGGTTTTGCTACATCCCGGAGCGAGGGGCGATCCTCTCTCCCTCGGTGGAGGTGGCAGCACGAATTAAAGCTTAATTAAAGCGCATTTCCAGCGATTCATCACAGCCTGGATCCAGGTTTTCCGAAATGGGTCTGACAAGGGAGCCTCGGCCAGCAGAGCCCCTCTCTCTAACATGCTCGGAAGCCTCCGTCGGAATGGTCGGAAGAGATGAGTGCCAGTCGCTGCTAGTCGTAGTCGTCGTAGTCCCTGAGCCTGGAATCGGCATTGACGCAGACGCTTCCCAGTGAGCTGTCGTCTCGGGGCCAAAGACCGGGCTTCTTATGTAGGAGCATTACAGATGTCCTAGTTTGGGGTCTGCTGAGGATATGCCTTCATGAAGAGCGCTGTGGACCCTCAGAGCATTTCAGTGCGTGTTCGTGGCTGTTCCTCCCCATCACGGAATAGCCTGTTGCGTCATGAATCTAGGCCAGCTATACTTCATGCGAATCCTACTGGGTGACAAAGCCCAGCTCCCACAGTCCATGGCGCCTTTGTCGAAAGGAGCTGGCGGCTGTCGTCAGTGTGGCGATGCCGAACATGAACCCGTCGGTCAAGGCCCCAACGCCTTGTACCGAGGGCCGAAAGCGTGCCCAACGTTGCTGCTTCCATTTGGTCTTGTCAGTTGCAGTGCATGGCAGCCCCACCGGGCTTGTAGTGATGAATAATGATGAACGTTCGATCCACTTCGAGGGCAGTAGCCGGAAGTAGCAGAGGGGATAGGTGGCTTACTTCTTTCACGCTTGTGCTTTGAACTCCATAGTACAACCGCTCGAAGCCCCAGCGTCGGAGGACTCGCCGTTGGACACCCCGACTGATCTACATGCGTGGCTGCGCAGCATCTGCGGTCGACGAACTAAGATCCTTGGGTCATCTCGTAGCGAATCTGTTGAGATGACGTACTGTCGACTGCACACATGGCCGAGCCGACAGGTGAACTTGTAGGTCAAACTCAAGCCTCAATTTGAGAGCCTCACAGTGTGATGTCCAAAGAATGTAAGGTACCGTGCCCTCCTTGCAGACAAGCTCAAGGTCGCCCTCTACGGGGTTGCCCGACATGTTTAGAAAGCATTCTTCTTTTTGGTTCTGCCTTTTGAATTTTGCATTTGCTGGGGCTTGCTTCAAGTTTTTGCACTTGTCAGATGGCCTGTTGGTATGGTGTAGGCATACTTGGGTGTTTATGCTCCAAAGCAGTGGGTGTTGTGAGGATGATGACTGTGCCAATGCTTGTCGTGGTGAAAATGCTTGATGACAGGGACCCCTGTGGTAACACCATGGGGTGCTCTCACTAGGAATGGGGGAATCTGTTGGTTTTGCTCCACCGAGCCCAGTCCAGAGGGGGGGCCATGCACCTGCACGAGTCGAGTTCTTGGCTGCCTTCACGGTGCACATTTTCGACGTAAATCGTGGTCTTTCCACAGTCCATGGCAAAAGATTCAAATTTCTTGAAGAAAGCCTGGTGGCGAAATTCCCCTGCAACAGCGCCTTGCATATTTTGGGGTGTGCATCATCTTTCGGCCACAGTCTCATGGTCAGGGTAGCGATCGTGCCCCGGTCCCATCAGTGTCCAGCCAAAACCAATGAGGCTCCCACGCAAAACTTGGTGGCCATGCCTTGTAAGCACAGAGGGTAGTCTTGGGAGCGTCAGGTTGGCGTGATGTGAAGGAATGTAGGGCTTGGACTGCTAGGTCCTGCTAGCTGCTCTTGGCCGTTTGGGGTCTTATGAGCCTTGAGTCCTTGAGTGTACGCCGATGCCAAGGCTGCTGTCAAGCTTGTCACAAGAGTTTTCGCAGCTTGAACAAGAAGTAGAGGGCATGAAGTTGTTCTGGTCAGTTTTTACAGTTGGTGCACTCGGGGGGCAAGAGCCCATCCATCGTACTCACCGGAAACAGCACGCATCCTCCCCAGCTTTGCTTCCTGAGGCCTGGGCAACACAAACCCCAAGACTCCTTCTGCAGAAGGCATCACTTGCTGGAGCGACCGCCGTTGTGGTCCCCGGCGTTGGCTGTGGCGTCTTCAAGAACGAACCAGGTTTCTGAAGCTCTCGGGTGGGCTAATGCGGCTCTAATGTAAGACATGAAGCGATGGCTTCAGTAGCGAAATCCATGCTTCCGCGCTTCAAAAAGGGCTCGTCTAAAGTCCCGCTCCTCCTAACCCCGAGTGGGCAAAGTTTGAATCTAAGCACCATCTTTTTGCAAACTCCCCCTCCCCAAGCCCTGCAGACGGCCTCATTCATGAATCGCCCGAAGGGGATGTTGGCGCAGCTCTGGCAGAGGCCATGCGCTGTGCAGGATCCGGGCTCCGCGAGGTGGCGGAGGGAGGTGTCAGCCTTCAAGGAAAGTGCAAAGTTTGATAGGTAGTGTGCGACTGCTTCGATGTCCAAGCCTTGCGTACAGCAGGAGCGTGACGAAAGTAGTAGGAGCAGAAGTGGGCGTTGGGGAGGATCACCATCGTGCAGTTGTTTGGATCCGGCAGTTCTTGTCTCCTTTCAACTAAACAAAGACAACTGTTTGATGGTTTGTCCGGAGGTGGTGCTGGCCGGGGTGCCGCAAGCCATGGCTGCGGCTGCTGCTGCTTCCCTTAAGCAGCGCCTCTGACTCGCTTTCAAATCTGAAGCGGTAAGGAGTTTGGGGTTCAGGGTTTCGGACGAGGCATCTGTGAGGTTGGCGCTGTCCATGCTCCAATCTGACTTCCAACTGGCCTGACTCCAGCCGATTCGGTCAAAAGCAGCAGTGCGAAGTGTTCAGCCCTGGGACTTCTTCTGAGAGATGCGCGCAATCAGTAGTGGGGCTGGCCGAACTCCATCATGGCAAGGAAGCCTTACCGGGTCATCGTAAGTTTCATCTCCTGTTGGAGAACTGTGCTGACCTTCACCTACCTTGACCAGCCTATGTCCTGCGCCTCTCTTCAACTCATGACATGGGTACGAAGCACTGTGAGTCCCAGAAGCCGGCCAACTGTAATCGGCACGGCAAAACCAGAGGTTTCTGGACATTTCTGCTACATAACCTTCTGTGGCTTGCGCACCTTGAGCCTTAAGCCCTACAGTGAGCAGCACGCAATCGATCACTACACAGCATTGGACGTCCAGGATGCTCAGCGGTAGGTCGTATGAGGACATGTTTGTTGAACCACATATATGATGTGGAAAACCTAATGCCAAGTGACTTTACTGTTGAATCCCGTGACTGCCCCAGAGTGTTGATGCACTGATTTGGGGCATGGGGCACATCATTCGTCGGTGCCCAGTGCGATTGCACAGCGCTTGCCAATTTATGTATGAATGACGATCTTGAAACGTCAGCCCCGAGCCAAGCTAAGCTTGAAGCAGTTTGGTTGTGAAGATACCCTTATAGGTACTGTCCAAGAGGGGCGCTTACAATCTTGTGTTCTCTCGGTTGAAGCTTGACGGCCATTTTCCTCTCTCCCTCTGTCTCTTGCCTTGTTTTGGGCGGTTAGGTATTTTATTTGTTGGGCTGCTGTGGCATCGAAATTTCTTTTGCAGTCGCAGCTTTTAGGTTTCAAGGCCCCCGTCTCTACACGCCAATAGCTCTCATGTTTAGATCTTTTTCGCTTCTGCACGCTGATTGCATGGTCGACGGCTTAAGGGCTCGTCGCTGGAATTTAGCAAAACCCTCAACCATAAAGCTCTCACTCAACCCCCATGGGCTTCGCCCTAAAGCTCGATCCTACACCGGAGGCCCTCACAAAGATCCATGAGGGCCCTGATGGAGTCCATATTCAACACGGAGACCAGCGATTCTTTCTTAGACTCTTTAGCACGCGAGGCCTGGGTTCTAGCCCCGGCAGCAATGTTCGGCGAGAAACTTAGGAAGTGTTGTCCCCAGGCTTATTAAGTGTTTGATGGTAGTTTTGGGATGGCAATTTTGTGCTGACGAGTTGTTCGGATGCTTCGCTGATGTTGTCTGTCTCATCAGAATGTGTGTCGCCAGACAAAAGGCTTCACGGATGGCACAGGAACGTTGTTAGATTACGTTTGGTACGGCATCTGGCTCAAGCTGGCTTAGTTCGAGTTATTGAATTTTTTGGTTTGCCCATTGCTCAAGCCAAGCTTTGCAATGGAAGAGAGCGTCATGGAAGAACGGGTGGAGCAGGACAGTGCAATGGGGACGTGTCAAGGTCAACGTCCCTGAAATTCTGCGCGCCCGACTTTTCTGTGAAGCATCTGTTCGCATCATGTTCATTTTGTCAGTGGTGAAGCATCGTAGGACTTGTGTGAAGCACTCCTATGGTCAAGGAGTCAAGCGCAGAGCTCACTAGGATGATATCCAGGGCGGATGGTATGTGCGTGAGCTTCGCATCGATCTCACGTAGCAGTCGACAACCTTTGGATTTCTCCACAATATTTTTTTGCCTGCGTGGCTACATGTTGTTGTTAGTATGTCGGGTTCGTTTCGTGCTGTGCATTGTGTCGAGAGCGACTTTGTCCAATTACCCGCGACTCCTTCGAGATTCTCAGATGGCTCCCTGTAGCTCAGCTCCAATGTGGGACGTGGCCTGTGCTTGTTCCGGACTCCCGAAGCCCCGAAGCCGGCACCTGGTCCAGAGCCCGTTCGGACTCGTTTCAAGTTGGAGCGCTCTAGGCAAATCATAAACAGTCCGCTGCCCTCGGAGCCCTGACAAGGACACAGTCTTCTGCGAAAAGACTGAACAGTTGAGCGCCAGTTCCGATGCCGATGGTCCCTTGCACTTGCGAGGGAGGTGTCATGGGTGTGGAGATTGAATCTGTAGATTTTGGACTTCTGTCTCGTCTCGAGGTTTAGGTTTGGATTGGTTGGGTTGCCAGGCGGGCTGCTGTGTTGTGATCTGGGGTCTACTCCCCCCTGAGAGCTCGCGGCCTGAGCCATGTCATGCTGTTGTAATGGGATTGGTGGTGCAGCTGTGCAGAGATGATGTTTTTTTTGTTTGAGAAGAGTTGCGCACCTGCGTACCCTCCGCGGTCGCTTCAAGCAACGAGGCTTTAGCAACTCCACCCCTGGGAACGACGAGAACGAGGATGCGTTCGGGGAGAAGATGGAGCCGCTGAAATTGCTTCTTGCATCGAGAGTGACATGGAGGCTTTCGGACTTGGGAATGTCGCGCTTCTGTGCAGTTTACGTCCTTTGCCGTACGGTTGAAGGAGAATGGTGTGGGCTCAGAGTTCGGGCCGATCAGGAAACTCCCTCAAGGCTGGCTTGGAGTTGTCGCTCAGGCCGAGCCACGACGTTCAGATCCTCAGGTCTTCCTGGCACCAGCTGATGCAACGTGGCTTCTGGTCACAGCATTGTGGCGGTGTTCTCTTATCTCTCTGCGAGCATTGTGCACAGGCAACATTGGAGTTAACCCCTCACTGAATGCACGGCGGCCGAAAGGAGCATGACAGTTGTTCCTTCGCAGAGCGAAGGAACAACGTGCCAGGATCAGAAACGCATCAAAGGACGTGCATGTCTGGCCTTCGGTGCGGAGCCGAGGGATGCCGTCGGCCACGATCGAGAACAGCTGGGCGACGTCCTGTGCCTTGGCGAGTTGGAAACTGCAATCACCGAAAAGCCACCCAGAGACCCGACGGTCCCAGGTACGTTGGGCTCACCGGCTCCTTAGCCGTGCTGAAGGAGAGAACGGGTGCTGCTTTCACGTGCTTCTTGATCCCAGACTTCAGGAGTTTAGAACAGTTTGGGGTTCTGGGTCCCTTTCGACCTTGAACATTCGAAAGCCTCAGTCTCGACATGGACTTCCTGCAGGATCAGTTCATCACGCCTCGAGCGGTGATGTCTCTGCGGCTTTTCAATGGATTTCGAGTGGTGGTGGAGAAGGCGGATGACCCGGCCGCGCTGCTGAACTTCACTGTGCCTTGGACTTTCTTGGCTCTCAGACGTCCTTCTTCCTAGGACATCCTCAACTCCAGATGCTCAGACAGCCTACCCTGAAAGCACAGGAGACCTTAGCCTTCAAGCGCCTCGGCTGCACCTGGGGTTGCGTCTCGGAAGAAGCCCCTCTGCCTGTGGCTTATACCCGCCTGCGAACCTTGCCAATGTTCGATGACATGCCACTTGATCCTGGCCGCTGAAGATTCGATGGCACTCCAGGATTTCAGGGATTTCAGCTGCCATGTTCTGAAAGTATTGAGTCGTTCCGCTGCCCAGGCATCTGTCGTACGAAGTGACGCAGGTTCGTGCCGGCCTGGTTGCCGCTGCTGGGCCAAAAATTCAGCAATCCCAGCACTTCAAGTCCTAGCAATGGGATGCAGGCCAAAGGATGAGAAGAGTTGTCAAGGTTCCTCTACAGTATATCTCAAAGGCGAAAGCAGAGCCCAATCAAGCCCGGAGTGAACACCGGTGTGGCATGGTCTGTGTCAAGTCCCACTATTGCTAGCCGTGAGGTGGCATGTGGGCGTGTCTCGTACTTCTTGTGTTGCTTTGGCAGCGTGCAAAGTCCGATTGCCGTGCCCCGTCTGGAACCCAGGACACGTTTCTAGAGGTGCTAACGCAGAACGTGACCGAGGCCACTGAAATGGGCTCGCGGGTGTCGGTGATGCACTGGATATCACTGTGATTGTCTTTGTCTGGTTGCCGTTGGTTCAGTTGGCCATGGGCTTCATGAACAGAAAGTAGCAACTGGTATGCGCCGGATTATGCTTCAGACGTGCATTGCAGGATGCGCCTGTCTGCTGTGCAAACTCTAGCCGCCTCTAGCCGGGATGCGGCTTTGCAAATTGTCAATGCTGCCTCTGTTGCTCTGAACTCTTGCGGAAAGGAAACTTGTTTAAGGATATGGGACAGTTTTCCTGCAGTGTTACATCAGTAAGTATCGGTTTCTATGTGTCTGGTGTAAAGGCACTTGCCAGATTCCAATCTGCGCAGGAGTTGCCACAAGGCGCCGGCGCAGTGTGGCGGCAGATCCTTATGTTGCCGAGCTGCAGGGAGCCTCGAGCCATAGCAGACTCTAGCATGCGAGTTGGGGTCGGGAGGGTTGGGTCCGCGATTCTCCGACTCTGTTGTCACTCTGTTGACACCCACTCGCCACCTGCCGCACTCTAGACTCCAAGCCTGTTGTCACAATGAGTCAGCACAAGTGAAGAGATCTTGTAGCGCTTGAAGTTCCTCATCTACAACGTCTCAAGTCGAGTCTAGTTTGCGTGAGGCTAGACTCCAGTTCTGCACCTTGCAGCTGTCCATGCGACCAAGTTGAGGTATGTCGGGAGCGCTTTTCGATACGTGAAGCAAACCTATGGCAAGCGCTTGTCCGTGATTCAGGCCGCGTGATAATCTGAACTCTGAGGGCCTCACGTTCTTGACTTCGAGTGCGAAGGATCGCATCAGTCTTCGGACGTTCAGACGGAAGATGTGCGGGTTAGTGAAGTGGCTTTGCCTGGTATCGTTCCCTGCAGAATTACCCACGATGAAGCTGACCGACCTTGTCATGCACTCATTTGTGCAGCTTCTTCTGAGATTTCTGAGCGGTGGAATGAGATGTATCATTTTCCCCCAAATTCGCACATGCAAGTAAGTGAGTGTACCGTACACTGTGTACGTGCAAGCTCTCGCCAGACTGACTGGGACAACATCCAGAATGCTGCAATTGCTGAAGATGAGGAGAGTGAGGCAGGGTTCGTTTGCGCCATCTGCGACCGAAACTTGATGAGCTCTACCCAGCCCCTGTTTCCTTCTTCGAGCAGGTGGTGCGGAGCTTTCCCAAGATGTGTGCCTTCTCCAACGAAGTGATGGGCCAGCCAACCGAAGGCAGGGGTTTCGGAACGGCGAGACCTGTTCTTGAGGTTGCCGTCCTTTTCACGGTTTCCATGCCCTTCGGAACCGGACCTGGCGGCTCCCGGCAGGTTGGATGGAAGAGCTCCTGGCAGTTTTCAGCGCGCCTTGGGCGGAATCAGGGGATGTGCGAGCGAAGCGGCGGAGTTTGGGACTTGGGCTTGCGAAGATGTCGCTGAGGGAAAGTTATAGGACCGTTGACCGTGCCCTGCAGTAGTAGCTTAGCAGCCCGAGACCTCAATGTTGAACTCCTACAATCGAAAACCTCGACATGCAAGATCTAATCCTTTCCCTGATGAGACCCTCGGATGCCCGTACTTCTGGTGCAGGAAAAACATGGTCAGACCGACTCCAGACCCGCAGACCCCAAAGCCTTTGCAACAGTCGCTAGAAGTCGAAGCGAATTCCGAATCCACGCCATGTGACAGGTGCTTGTGGAGCGGGTAGGGAATCCGTCCCACCTCGTCGAGGAGTGTGACCTACTTTCGCTGGCAATGGTGGCGAGGTCGGAGGCTCGCGGGCCAGAGTCCAAGAACTGTCGATTCCCCGCCCCCATGATGAGGGCTTCGGCCGACGTTGGAGTTTGCCTTGGAAGCGCGATGGCTTAGAGTGTGTTTGCAGGCTGAGTGAGCTTCGCACGACCACCGACCCAACACGATTGAAGCCTTGGGGGCTCTGCAAGTCTTCTCTTGAGGAGATCAAGTTCGAGAGATTCAAACCTGTCATGCTCGCGGCCTTGCGATCTCTGCTTCCGTCGCCGGCTGCAGTTTATGGTAGGTGTAGGTGGCGATCCAGCTCGGAGATTGGGGTGGTCGGGTTCGGTTTAGACCAAGAGGAAGCCAGCATTGCCGGCATGGCCCTAGGCAAACGTGGAGCACGGCGCACGAGGAAGCCTGGGAATGGCTCTGGGCCACCATCTCCAGGAACCTGACGGAGTCCACGATGAAGGCAGCCTGAGATGTTCGGATTGCAGGAGTGTTGGCAGCGAGGGTGCAAGAGCTAGATTCAAGCTGATGCGGTTGTGGATCTTCTTCATCTCAGTGGCATGTGAAGCTTAAGTTTTTCCACCTATGTGTGGTCCACGCGGCAGTTTCATCTTGAGCTTACGTCCGCTGCGTCTCGTTTTGCAGTGTTGCTGCCAGCCCATGAATCAGAACCCGGCACGAGGTGCGTGCATTCAAACCGTACAACGCGAAGCTGTACGCGGCAATGACGGACGAGTGCCTGGAATGCAAATAATGCAACAGAAGTCGTCTTGTTTCGGCCCCGTGGTTGAGAAAATGTAGTGACTCAAGTGTTATGACCCTTTGGCTTTCATAGGTGTAGGTCCCAGACCAAGACTGGTAATGCGATGCAAACGATGATATGCCGCAAGTGCAAAAAAACCCAAGCCTAAACCTAAAACGTACAAACGACTCGTGCTTCTTCCTTTGAGTTTTACAATGGGAAGTGCTTTTCTGTGCCTGCTGACCTGAGAAGCCCTGACTTCAGCTCCAGGCACAAGGAAACTTTTCGCACAACTGTGTACACGAAATTCTTCGCCAAGTGCGTCGCCAGTCAAGACCTCTTCAAGCAGTTCCCTGGCACGAACTGCAAGTGCAGAGTGATGTTTTCGGGGCTTGGGGTGGTGACCTGGGAAAGCTGGAGATGCAGAGCTTACGAAACATCGACTAACTCCGATTAGCAATTCCCAAATCCAGAGGCTTAAGAATTGGTTCAAGTTGTCCGGATGCGAACTTTCGACCAGAACCTACATTCCCTTGCAGCTGAAGCGTGCACTAAAGAAACCTCCGCGAACCCCGCGAAATCTCAGGTCTCAGACGAGGCTCCGTTACATCGCGGACAGGGTCATGGCGGCTGCATACGATATGATGCAGCGATCCTCAACAGCAGTCAGCGGGAGTTGGAGTCTGCAATCTGCAGACACTGATTTGGATTCATGGAACTCGAGTCTGATGGTTGTACCTGCTGGTTTCGGATTTCGGAATCGAGGGTACCTGAAGTTTTCTCGAGTTTCCCACTTTCCCGGCAGCAGCCATTATCCTGAAATGCACTCGCAGGGGACACCAGCGAGATGGTGGACGACCTCTCTGCACTGGGCCTGCGCCACGTAGGCCATGGGGGCCGGCCCTGAAAATTTTCGCCCTGGCCCAGCCCTCGCAGGCTATGGGGTGCCGATCGACCTCTTCGGGCCCTTCACGGACACCTGTGTGGAAGTCATCAAGCCCATCGTTCTGGAGCTTCCGAACTGTGCTTGCACCTTAGAATCTTCATCCGTTGAAAGTCTGAAGGAAAGCAGCAGAAACTGTGAACAGCGGTCTAGTGCTAGTCTTCAGCAGGGTCTGCATGTAATCACGAAGTAGTCACATAGCTAAGGACTCTTGTGGGACGGTGGGCGTCTGTTTAGTCCGGTCTCCGACCCAATCCAAACCACTTAGCCCCCAAATTTCGACCCCCTGACATTCAGCCTGGGTGACCTCCACCCTACCTTGGCCCACGGATTCAAGCTTTGACAAGGTCACCTCGAAGAAGGACATGCTCTGCCCAGCGGACAGAGCTCACTACCTGCCAGTGCCCAGACTGCACAAGATTGTGCGCAGCCTGGGGATTTTGTGCTCAGCATGTCCTTGTAACAAAGGGCATAGAGCCCAGCAGACGGCGAGGAGGTGAGAGGGACGTGGAAGAAACCGTGATGTCGGGTGAAAAATCCAGTGAAATGTGCAGCTGACATCTCAGGAATGTGAACTGCAGCAACATATGATGATCGAGGGATTCCGCTGGTCGATTGGCTCCTTGGATCATGTTTGGACCAATCATTCCAAGCCTGAAGAACCCGGCGCTGCCCTAGGGCTGGTGGCGCGGATTTTGATGCGGACCATCACGGAGGGCTCCACAGCCGTGATGCAGCCTGCCGCGATGGCCTAGGGCCGCCGTGTGTTCTAGGGTATTGCTGCAGTGAGTCTGTGGGCGCAGGGTTCAGATGCGTTCTTTGAGGCAGGCCATTCATGCCGACAACTCCAAGCTCCTTCGACGAGCGCTCCGCGATGCCCCTCGCGCGACGTGGCACCCAAAAACAAAGGGGGGGGTGGGGAGGGGTTGGAAGAGAAGGCACACAAAAAGGCATTGAAAAGAGGCAGCTCCAAGAGAAGAGAAGCGCCGTCTCGTCTTCGTCTTCGTCTTAGTCTTCTTCGGTGCCCCCAAAAAGATGAAGATGCAACGAACGCGCAGAGAGCTCCGCTCCGAGAGGCTCAGCGCGTGTTTTGGCAGCTGCGGGTCCGCGTGGGCAGCCAGTCCATCAGCCCGCTCTACTGGGCGTTGAGGCAAAAGGGGACTTTGAGGGGCGCTTTGTGAGATGTGGGTGTTTTTGGGGGTGTCCCTCTTTAGAGGCGGAGACTTGTGGGGATTTTTTGCAGAAGGGGGGGGGCCCTCCAAGCAGGAGTGGTTGCCACGGCGCAGCGAAGACCATTGTGCAAGACATCCTGACTATCCGCGCAGACTCCCGCTCAGCTCAAGGTTTGCTTCATAGGGCAGCGAGGATCAGAAAGCTTCTTCGATTTCGTGGCTTCAGGTGTCCATGATCGTACTTAGACTTGCCGAACCCTGAATTCCAAAATCAGGCAAAGCGAAAGCTACTTCGGGGTAGGGCAGTGTTGATGGGCAGAAACCTCGAAGTACTGCTCGCGCGAGTTTCCCAGGACCGGGACCGATACTACTACGGTGCGGACGAGCTTTTTAGGCTCGGAAGCTGACTTCTGCATATTTTCTCCATCAGTCTGCTCATGCTCCTTGGGCGGTTTTCTTCTGACTCCTCAAGTCTAGACTACCTCGTGGCTCTTCACACCTGGAACCCTGAAAACTGCTCGAGTGCAAAGCCTCTTGCGAACCTGACCCAATCCTCGAAGGCTTCAGCCCGACATCGTCGACAACCTGCTGCGTGAAGCGCCGGTCCTCGCGCACGACCGGCTACTCCTGTTTTTTTGCCTCTAGTATGGGCCGCCAAGCTGTCAGCTGGGCTCCACTGTAACGCTCGAATGGAAGGAAGGCTAAGCTTCGACTTCTTCAGCCCTTGGTTTCCGTTTCAAGCCCCCCCCCTGGCTTGACCAGGACTTTCTAGACGGCCTCATTTGGCGATCTCACAAGACCCAGGACCTTACTGAGAGGGTTGAGGCCTTGAGGCCTTGGTTCAAGTTCTACGTGGAGAGTCGTTTCGGATGCAGGGGTTTGGAAGTGGTTTCCAAGCGGTCCCTGCCACCTGCAAGTCAAGACTAGCTGACATGTTCCCCGAAATCGTGGCTGCCGGTTTCACCGCGTCAGAATCACGGTACTCAGAGCTTGGGCTTCTCCAATATGATGGGTGCGAGGTCGTGGTGCGTCAACCTCACGTCGTACATCTCAAGCCTTGATGCGGAGGATTTCGTCCCGTTATCTACTATTTGGAGCACCTCTTGCAGGATCAGGACGAGTCTCAGATGCCTGGCTCTGATTTGGCTCTGTGAAAATGCGGCATTCAGACGGGGCAGACAACAGTCTGAAGACGGAGCTGTTCAGAGTGCTATGGAAGTGAACCGGAGGTAGCGAACTTCTCCCGGAACTGAAGTCAGCTCTGGATGACAAGGGTCTCAATTGTTGCACAGCCCGGAGGGTCAAGACAAACACCGGCCTCAAGCCGCTTGACTCAAGCCGGTCTTCTGAGGATGCTCTCCCGGTCGCTGAAGTCCTTCGTCGTGTTTCGGGATCCCCGGACAATCACACACCCCATTCTGGTTTTCGCACTGGACCTCATTTGGGAAAAGCTGGTGGCCGGGCTGCAAGATGCGAGTCCCTTCTCGTCAGAGTCCCTTCTCACGGGGCAGTATCGCAAGGCCTCACAAGGAAGTTGCTCAGATATCAATACCCCCTTCAGTCCACACGCTTCCCTGAATCCCCGTCTGTCCTTAAGGTGATGAGGTATTTTCTACTGGACCGTCTCTGGACACTGGTAACCTTCGTCATCTACATCGCTGCACAGAGCAGCTCGCCAGCAGTGAGTGTGAAGGCACGACATGAGTGCGGAAGCGCATGAGAAGGGAGAGTAGTGCCATGGAGATGGTGATGATGGCGACAATACTGATGGTGGTGATGATGATGATGATGATGGCCACGGGTCCCGGGGGTGGTTGTTGTGCATGGTGGCACCGACGATAGCAGCGGCGGCAGTGATGTCTAAAGATTGAGCGAGTGGGTGACTGAGGAAAGGTTAGTGAGCGATGAAATCCGAAGCTTCCTCCGGAAGAGCCGCGTTTCACGGCAAGCTTCTTCACAAGCTGTAGAAGTTGACCTGTGTCAGACTTCTGCTTCAATGAGGCCCTCAATTTCTCGCTGAGGCGTTCTGAACCAGAAGGTCTACTTGGAGAATCACGAGCCCGAAGCTGAGAGCCGCGTAGCGCAAGCCCCTGCAGGGCATCAGCATAGGCGCTGTTGCGGCAAGGCTCCACTTGTGGGTGGGGATCGCCCGGCTGATGGTCTACTTGATCGGCCTAGGCCGACTCCTCTTCTGGCTGCTCGGCGAAGCCAAACCTCCGGTCACTCCCAAGTCCTGCAAAGGGTTTCTGGCAGCCTTTGGCGATCTTTGGCGGATGCTTATTCGCTTTCGGAGCAGAGGCGGAGGTTGCAGCCGCATGGGGGCATCTAGTGGCCTTGTCGGTTGCCGTTCCTTGTGTTGTCTTTGTTGGCTGGTGCCTGCCGTGGCTTCCGGTCATCCGTGTCGTTGCTGCAGGGTCGTTTGAGTGGAGGGCTTTATGGCTTGGGGGTGCCGCAGGCTGTTGCAATACGTCCATGCCGCCTTTTGGATTTGGGAAGTTCAAGGCTCTGATTGGGCTCTGTGCAGAGTGTTCCAGCGCGCACTCTCGTGCCTCGATGCGACAAAACATGAGGCATGGGACCCAAATGTACCGCGCCTTCGTGCACAAGGCCTCACAGGGTCCACAGGGCTCGTCCCGTCCTGAATCGGTTGTATCTCAGGTTCATAATGTGAGAGTCTCGATTCATGGCAGTGCACTAAACTAAAGTGCGAAGGGTACAGAACCCGCCTCATGAGTTTGAAGAACTTGCATGGATCCAGCTCAGTCTGCAGGGCTAAGGGCACTCTACAGCTGGCCAGAGCGCTTTGGGGCGGTTTCGGTCTCAAGGCTATTGGTCCTTGTTGACAGTGCTTGTGGGAATGTCAACAGGATTACATGGTGATGCGGTGGCTGCGTATTCCCAGTTTCTCGGCACATAGATATTGAATTTATTGCTCTTTGGGCTACCGCGTGCACACTGCGGACATGTATGCAAAGGCTATCTCGCCCAGTGGGATCAACAGCTCTCCCTGCTCCTCACGGCCAACCTCTTTATGATGTTGGCAGCCTCTTGACTTTCGACACATTCGATACATGTGCTCGAGCGTGGTGACAGTTCCGTTGCATCGTGTTTCTTCAGTCCTGCTGAGCCTTGAGCGGAAAACGCGCTCACAGCGGCAGCGACAGAGACTGAACAGCACGCTTACAATCACAGACTCCGGGTTGGCGTGTGCTGTGGTGACGATCCTGTCTCTAAGGTGGAGCCTGTGCGCCATTGCTTTGGAATCGAAGAGGCGCCATGCTTCGGCATGCTTCGGCTTGGAGTTGCTGGGTTTTGGGCTTTGGCAGCCTTCCGGGGAGGCAAAGTCGTCCCGGACAATCCCCGCCTGCGAAGCTCCGAATGCAGTCTTCGGACCTTGAAATCAACCCTTCACCGTCGGGACCCTCAAGCGTCGGTTGCCACCGAACAGGACATGATCGGGCTGCACTGTGTGGCCGTTACGCCAGCCATGGAGCAACCAGACTTGGAACAGCCAGAATTGCCTGTTGAATAACTCGGTCATAGTTTTAGCGAAGTTCGCTCAGCAGGAAATTCAAGCCTAGCGCTGAGACAAGCATTTCCTAAAATCCGCCCTGACACAGCCATCCGCGTCCAGCTCTTACTTCAAGAGCCAATGAACAACTAAGCATCTCAGGATTGCCTACGAGGTCCTTTCCAGCTTCGGGGTCTTCTTGCGGCTCGGACGGACTTTAGGGGCCTCGAAACTGGTGCATTTTTTGTGGCGTCTCGCAATTCCAAAGCGGCTCCCAGATCCAAAGAGCAGGTTCTCCTTGCTGGTCCTGGATCTCGCAACCGTCTCCATCAAGATGTCCGAGTATAAGGTGCTGTGTGCACGCGCGGTGGGGCAGGCGCTCGGGGCTGACGGATGTTTGTGAGATAGGAGGAGCCCCAAGTGCCGCGTGCATGGCTGACCATATCGTCTGGAGACTCTTCCTTATGTTTTTTTTGGTTTTCTTGCTCTTGCTTTGCTCTTGCTTTTGTTTTTGTTGTTGCTGAAATGGGCCAGACTCGCTTCGCCTCGCTGGATTATTAACGGAGGATTCACGCTATCATGTAGTTGCTGGTAGGAGTTTCCCCCTTGCTTGACCCGAGCTTGCCCTTCTATGACAGGTTTTCCTTTGCCTCGGTGCTGTGATCGCCTGCATCTTCATCTTCACCTTCGCCATCGCGGCGATGTCCAGAGAGGCAGAGGGTACACCTGTACTGCACATTTCCCTCGTTCCTAGCCTGAAGACTCTCGAGTTTTGACCCCCCTAGAGCCCTGTTTCAGGTAGACCTTGTCGGCTTGGAGGACTGCCCGAGCTTTCAGTGGTGCCCTTCGAATTCTGCTGAGCACGGTGCGAACAGCCTCACAGCGTCACACATCTCAAGATGCAACCGGCTAAAGCGGAACTGTTGTAGTGCACTACACAACTGTGATATCGGTGTGCATTCAAGCTGTCTTCCAGTGTATATGCTAGCTGCTAGGAGAGAAGTACAGCATTCTCTAGCCATGAGCTCGGAGAATTCGCACTTGGAAAGTGCTACGGATGTGTCTTTCTGCGAGACTCGTTCGGCCACATACTCACGATCAAGCAAGGACCATCCTTTCAGCTAGGGGGCTGACGGCGAGGCATCCACCGCCCAGGCTGCAACCTTTCTGGAGTCTCTTCCCCAAGATACGTCTAAAGAAGACAGCGGAGCCGTCATCTCTGCTCTCCGAGCGCCCGACGTCTGCCGCGAAAGGCATCATGACAGCTGGCAAAAGACACCGGCGAAGTCATCGTGCGACATGTCCAGGGCTGCCATGCAGGCCTGTTTGCAGAGCAGGGCACATCAGGGCACCACCGTCGGTGGCTCCGGCTGGCGAAAATACCGAGGAAGCCAAGCTTTCAGAGTTACATGCCATGGGCATTCGCAGCGGGCCACCAATTGAGATGCTGCACGAGATGGCAGCTGAGTCTCCTTCAGAAGGAGGCGAGTCCTGTAGAAAAAGTGGCACGTCAGACAGCCTTAGTGCCGGTTCCCCCTAATTAGCCAAGCAGTGGTCAAAGCCGAGTCCGATGTGCAGGGGCTACAGCTTACGTGAATTTTGACCAAAAAGGTGTCAGCACGGCTATCCGAAGCTCATGGAAGAGAGATAGCACGTATAAAAGCTGATTTGAACCAAGGAAAAGAACGGGAGCTAGAGGCTGCAAGAGAGCTGGGTAGAGCGCAAGCAAAAAAGTTTTTACAGACGCAGCTATATGAGATACGAGCCGTGCCTCAGCCGTCGACTCGAAGCAAAGCCCGGCAGTCACCAGCACCAGTGCCAGTTGACAGCACGCATTTAACCGATTGTTTGTCCTGTCTCAGGAGTTCTCTACCATAGGCAACATCGCGCAACTGCTGATTCAGATTGCCTGGGGATTGACGAGCATGGCCGCTTGCAGCAAATCCGAAAGGGCATGGCCAGGGTGTACTTGTCCTTTGGTTCGTTTCTGCTGTATTTCGAGAGGCTGGATGATGGAGCCACAAAATAGCAAAGGAACCAGCCTCGCTAGTTGTTTTGATAGTCTGTTAGAGATGGAGGGCGGGGCGTTGGGCACATCTAAGTTGCTGCAAAAGACACGTCTTCGACAGCAATTGGTAACTCAAGTTCCAGACAGAGCCTCAAGACGACGTTCCCAACTTTGACAGCTAGTTGCTTGAAAACTGCTGCATGCAAACTAGCCTGGAAAGATACGAACGAAGAACTCACTGCCAACCGAGGAGCAGATGAAGACGATTGCGCAGCAAAGCAGCTTACTCTTCACGGCCGCTTGAATGCAGTTGCAAAAGTGTGTGGCATCTGTATGGTAGTTCGGATGTCGAGGAGAATGTGGAGGCGTAGGGTGTAAAGGGTCTGCAAGACTCCCCGTGCTGCAGGAGGTCTTGTACCACATGCGCCGACAACGATTACTACTACCACAACTACTGTACTCCCGCTGTATTGCTACTGCAAACAACAACAACAACTACTACTACTACTATTACTACTACTACTCCTGCTACTTCTCCTGCTACTACTACTCCTACTACTACTGCTACTACTACTACTACTACTACTGCGACGACTACGACTACGACTAGTACTACTTGCGACTTACAACTACTACTACTGCTGCTGCTGCTGCTGCTGCTGCTACTACT